CGTGTATATGCAAATATAATATACAATTTTCAATTCATATCATTATGCTCATCATATCATAGAGCATATAATAAAAATGTCTATTTTTTACAAAATATTCTCAAGCATGTCACATATGATTGCAATCCAAACAATGCACTTGAACCCTAAGCATTTGATCAAACACTTAGTGGGCATAAATATAAATATATAGCATACCCAAATAATTCATCCTCTCAAACCCAAATATCTTACTACCAGTAGGTCGTGCTTCTTCTACCGGTAGGTTCACATTTTTGAAACCAAACCCAAATCAGGCAAAAAATGATTTTTAACATGTTCTCATATTCATTTTCCATACTCTAGATACGGAGGTGTGAGCTAACTCATGAGATTTTATCTCTATAGCCCTACCCACTTCATATCACAACCTTAAGTTGAAAGTAAACCCTAATAGGAGAAAATCTTACCTCTTGTAGTGCGAGCATGTTGTAGAGAGACCCTAGAAAAAGCTAAACAATGTCTCGTTCAATCCTGAGTTAAAACTCCAAATTTTGCAATGTGTCAAAAATGAACTTGGTTGGTACTAATGCGTAGCCCTTGTCGAATAGAGCAACTTTTGCTCTTACGCTATGTCGATACAGCGGACGAATCTTCATAGATCAAGGAAGAAATGAAAAAAGAAGACTTGGAGAATCTCCTTTCTCTCTCCCTCTATCGGCCGGAACTTGGAGGAAAAATGGTGAAAGACCCCAAAATCCTCCTTTTTATACTTCCTTAAATGCTTGGCCCTCACTGTGCCATACATCCTGTTTTAATTGATCTAATTTTATTATGAATCAATTAAATCTCGTCCCNTTTTATACTTCCTTAAATGCTTGGCCCTCACTGTGCCATACATCCTATTTTAATTGATCTAATTTTATTATGAATCAATTAAATCTTGTCTCACGTTAAGTTTAGTCTATTTTTATCTCACTAATTTTTAATTATTTCCCAGGCCTCGCGAATAAAATGATTTTAGTCGCGTGATACCCGATTGTATCGTAAAATGAAAAAAAAACTGACTGCCTCGGAATTTAATGAAATTTGACTGGGGTAACTAGATTTTGCGAGACGATTCCAACTGTGAGGTTCGTTTCGTCATCCAAATTCTATAAAAATTTAAGTTTTCAACCCGTACTTTAACAACTAGTTACCGTTTTACCCTTTTTAATTAAGTTTTATTTTTTTTAGGTTTTACAATAAATCCCTAATTTCTAGATTTTGTACATTGACACTCAACATTTAAAAAAAAAAAAGTAATTCACCTAAAAAAAAAAAAACCAGTGTGATTCACCCACACTCAGCATTGCGGTTGTTCTTATCATATAGAGTGGATAAATAGTGTGATACTATAGTGATGCTTCAATTCATAGACAGTGTGGCTTCATAATGCGATTTCATAGTATTATTTTTTTGTAAAATTCTTAAAGTTTAGATTTTTCTCTTATTAGAACTCCTGTATATATATTAACACACACACACACACACACACATATATATATATACGTGACCAAATTAAATCTAATGCAAAATCAAATTTCCTTAATTTTTAGTATTTTCTAAGATAAGATAACTAAAATTCTTTAATTTTAGTTGTCAAATTTCAAAAGCTTTTCAAAAACTTTAAAATATATCCCTAAAAAAAAGAAATAAGGCAATGGGAAAGAGAGAGACCAATGGATATGAAGAGGATTTATTATGAGTTTTGTTTTTCCAAAACTATTTTAGGCAACTGCTATATCTATATCTATACTACTTATAAATGTCAGCATGTTTGAAAATTTTTTGATTTCCTATTTCACCCTTAATTATTACCATAAAGTCAATTATACCCATATATTTTCCTGTCTTTCATTCCTACTTGACTTCCAAAATATTAGTTAGATAAACTTTATCTCTATGTGTTGGTAGATAAACTTTATCAAAATATTAGCTAGATAAACTTTATCTCTATGACTTGATAGACAAACTTTATCTCTATGACAATACATTCTTTCTTTTCCATTCAATTATACAAACTCTACTAGAATTCTAATACCACATATTGGTAATTTTTAGGTGATACATATACATATATTTTTTTTTGTCTTTCCTATTTATTAGATTTCTAAAATATTTTAAATTCCTTCATATATATATAAATAGATAGGATTCTAATACCACATGGGATCAAACTTTCCAACAAAGTTATGGAACAAGTTTTTTCTTCCATTCACGTTAGAGTTATAAGTTGCCCTGCCATAATCATTTATTTGAAGTCTTATGGTCTCATGCTCTTTTGTGACAAACTCAATGAAATCGAAGTTGGAGTTTTTGGCATAATTAAGGTTAATTTATCAATTCCTCTGTTTTAGTTTATTAATTCCTATGTTTTGTGGCACTTAATTTTTCTTTATTTAATGTCAAGCAGCTTTTTAAGATATTAGTAAGGCATGTCAAGTATTTGGTANCTCATATAGCTAATATTTTGAAAGCTTGTTCAAATCTCCTATAATATTGACCTAATTATTCTTAATTTTTGAATTGATGGTAAATTCCAACATTTATTGAGGCCAACAATCAATCCAATAATAAATAAATTAAATCCAAATAAAATCTGAAATGGAGAAAAAACAGCCTGAAAGTCAAAAGCATGACCAGTTAATAAAGAAGGTGTCACATAGAAACTATGCAGAAACTACTTAAGACATGATTTGCTTCTTTTTTTCCTCTTCAATCATTCACACAGAAATCTTCTGAAGATTATATTAACAAGTCTAGGAGAACAATAAATAGAAACGTGAATCATGAACGAGAAAATTCTACACAAGAAATCATAGACAAGGCTTCAAGGATCACAAATGTGGTTAACATAAAGATACCTAACATAACATGGCAAGCACCACATAAAAAATTAATTAACAGAAACCAAAAAAAAAAATTATTACAAAAAAAACATACTAACACTCTAAAAGCACTTACGAATTAGAAGTGACTAAAACAACAATTTACAGAGTTCACATAAACAAATTCATTTAATAAAAATCTATTCATGATCAATGAATAAACAAGAATAGAAAATTTTCTAACCAGCAACATTTTGAAACTTATCCAATCAAAACTCTAATGTATCAAGGGTTTGCATATAAGATTAAAACTTCTGTCTAGACCTCTACAATCTAAACCCAAAGAAGCATCTAAAGAAGTATAAAATTTCAACCAATTATTAATGGCACTCACAATCCAACTCCATTTTGAGAATCCTTTAGAATGCATGTAAAGAGAGTCGACTGTTTCAAGAAAACATAGACCCCTATGTTTTAAAAGTGAAGACATAGATTTTTCAGAAGAGAGAAGGGATTATTAAGAGAACAAGCAAAAAAGCTCCAAATTAGAGCATATTCAAATTACGGGTGTACTTGGCTGAGTTGAGAAGACTGAGAAGTTGATGTAATTTTTGATTTCACTTATCATTTTTTGGGTTCATTTTATTTTTGGTAGAGTTTATCAATTTTGTGATAAAATATAAATAATGAGTCTTTTGAGGACGTTTATTAACTTACAGTCAAACAACTTTAAACCTATTTGTTAAATTTTGTAAAAGAGCGATTGGAATCGATTCAAACATTAATACTCTGTAATCGAATTTATTAAACTTAATTTTTCATTGCTCATATTTTATTATAGCATTACAAATAAAAATTGTATGCTCCAAAAATTCGTTATTCTAACTATGAGAAAAGAAATTTAAAAAAATAGTTAAAGTTAGGTACCACACCAAAAAAAAAACGTTAATGTACTATGTACCATGTTTTTGAGTATTTTTATCATTTATTGGCTGAAATTTACCAAATTTTGAGGTTAAAAGATTAAGTGCATTTTTTCTTGGTATTTTAATTATTCACTTACCTTTACAAACAATAATTTAATTTTATTACTCATCAACTTTGTATTTCAAATAAATTTAATAACAAATTAATGAACTAAATTTTTTTCACGTCGTGTGCATTGCTAGTATATTAAAAAGGTCTTCAAGTCTTTCTAAATCACTAGAGGACTTTTTTACAAAATATTTTTCACTATGGACTTATCCACTAATAAGCTTAATTTGGTGTATCAGCTTCCGAAAGACCAAAAAGATTATCAAATCAACGTGAATGCTTAGATCTATAGTGAAATTCATTCATATAATTAGTGTCCTCATTTTTTATTAATATTTTAATGACTATTTTTCCCCCAATAATAGTAGCGGAGAAATGTTATATCCATCAATTTTTTACTAAATTTGAAATCCCAAATGACGTGTCATATTAATAGTCACGGGTTGGTTTGTGAAAATTTATGGAACCTATTAATTCAGTAATTTACATTGATTTGGTATAAAAATTGATAAAAATTTTAATAAATGTAGCATTGTTGATAATACCAACCCCCTTATTCCTTTTATTTGTGTTAGAGGACAGAGTTAATGAAGCCATTGATTCCNTTCTATAAAATTTGATCAAATAACAACTAGATCCCCTCATATTTAAAATATAACACTAATCTCGTATGTAAGTGACCATCGTTCTACTTTTCTAACAGCAACAATAAAATGACTATAATACCATTAATCCAAAAGATTTTCTACTTCATTAACCTTTAGTCAATTTTACAACATCCGATCACAAATTACCATGTCATATCAATATAACAAAAGTGAAGGAAAAAAAATTCTTAATTAATTGAATTGATCCCCAATGAAAACAAGATGGTATTTATTCCATTAATAAAGTCCCAAAACTTAGCCAATCTAATCAAATTATTTATTGAATAATATTTATTTTCAAAGATCAATCTAATTAATATTGTGCTTAAATACATACCAAATCTAATTAACTTCGTTAAGTAAATCAAATATATCACAAACTCAAAATAAACCTAAATTAATTCTCCAAATTCAAATTAATTAATTTAATTTTATCAACCGCCAACCCTAAATATCACAAACCCCACCTTCAACGACCCCTATTCACCATAGCGCCCACTGGCACCACAAACCAAAACCAAGAACCCAAAAAACCACCCAAATCCACCATCACCATTGTGCTCAATCCACTACCCAAGACCACAAACCCAAGCCACCTCCGCACTGCCTCCACCTTACACCCCGGAAGGCAGTACACAAGCTCCACAAATGCAATATCCAAGCACTGTAGAAAAATAAAAGCTTTAAAATTTCTCGTTTAATTTATTTTATATGTTTTAATGGATCACTTTTAATTTATGATTTAATTGGATTTTTATATGATTTAAATGAGTAATTATACTTTGTATAATTGGACATTTGAATGCCTTTATGTGATGAGAGTTACTAGATAGACTTTAAAAGTCTCAAATGGCTAGCATTCTCAAGCATATATAAAAAGAGGTCATTTGATCTAATGGGAGTATGTTTTTTGTAGTATATATATTTTTTCTATATATATTGTAGATGTATCTTCTAATTATATTTTTGGGCAACTTCGATTCGAGTCAGGTTCACCCCAGCCTTTCAGTGGACGTGACCCTTGAAGAGGTGTTACTGTGAGCATATTTGGGTTAGATCTTGGAGCTGCATATGTCTGTTAGTACCTTCACATGGTGAGGCGTAGTTGTTTTAAGACAGTGATCAAATGTCTTCCAGATATCACAGACNTTAGTACCTTCACATGGTGAGACATAGTTGTTTTAAGACAATGATCACATGCCTTCCAGATATCACAGGCTAGCTCTTTCTAATTTATTATTGTTCTAATCAATACCTATACTTGTTCTTGTTATAAAACGAGAAGGTGCAATTAACATATTATTGAAAATATTTCATAGCTTACAAATCTAAACTACACTTTATGCTCTCATTATCTCTACTGGTAGTGTGCACCCAAATAACTAACAAGGACAAGTTCTGGAAGTACCGTGAAATTTGAAGCCTAACCATGAGTTTTCCTTTTGGAACTAGTTAAGGAAGAAACTGAGATTTATTTTAGAAATCTAAGATAGTTCCATTAGGTTAAAAGAAGTTTAATTTTATGCTACTCTGAAAGAGTTACAACTAGGAAGAGTTCTACTTTAAATTTTGACAAAACAACATAATTTCCTATGAAAAAAAATTCAAAGGAAAAGATTACGTTAACAATAAAATTTAAGGGAAAAAAAATGAGAAGAAAAGGTAATATGAATAATTTAATATGTTTTGAAAATATATAAGATTATGGAAATGATTNGAAAAGGTAATATGAATAATTTAATATGTTTTGAGAATATATAAGATTATGCAAATGATTTATCTGTAGTGTTGATTGCAAGTGATTTAATGTTGTCCTATATATTGAGGCAACAAGGAATAGAATGTTTAATTCAGTCCTTTAATGTTGTCCTTTATCATCCTCTACTTCAGTCCTATTTCAATGTGACATATTGTTAGTCCTATCCATATGGAGAGTTAAAGAAATCAACCACAAAAGAAAATTGAGAGGGCAATAAGGAGTAAATAATTGTACCTTTAACAAATGTGTCCCAGGAACTCAATCTACCACCACGCGAATATTTGAGTCATGGTTGTTGTGTGTAACTAAAGAGGTGTATAAGGGGCATGCAATTCTTCATTCGAACGTTAGTATATTTATTATCGCATGAGGCAAGTAGATATTAACTAAAGTTTCAAAATTAGTGGGGACCTAATAGTTATTTAGGGAATGTTAGATCTATCAATGTGTATCCATATGTTAGACACGTCTATTATTATTGGAGATATTATCTTTGTGATTAACATGTTTACACTTCATTACATGAACATATACATGTGATATCTAATTAGTCTAAAATCACATTAGTTAGTGGGACCTTATGTAGTTTGTGATTATTTGAAAAATATAAAATCAATCTTCGCCAGTAGCATTTAGATTCAAAACTTTGAACATATTGACACCAAACTCATGTAAATGCCCGACTATATAATTAGTAGTGTATGCTCGTGTATATGATCTAGCATGTAGGTGGTGTTATTTGCCACCAATTGTACAATGGCATCTTGAGTTCTTGCATCGTTCGTGATAAATATGAATATTGGTTTTCTTTTAATACCTGCAAACCATCAAGAATTCAAGGGCAAATGATTCAAATGGAAATCATGGAATATGTGTGTTTATATCGGGATATATGGTTTGGTCCAATAAAAGAAAAATGAAAACTTTCCATTTAAATAATATTGATAGGTTGTTTAGAATGAACACTTTTATTGAAAAAGAAAAGTTTTGAGGTAAGTTGAAGTGTATTTAAATTATCCTTTGAGATGTTGGGATAGAATGGGTGTGCCAATTTTAGTATGGTCAAGGTAGCATTGAATAAACCAATAGTCCAACAAATGAACAAGAGGCGACCTTGAACAAAATTAAGCATGCGTTCTATATTTACCAAATTGAGGTATATTTGTGTTCTATGTATATGCAAGCATCGAGCTCACCTTTTCCCTTGAATTCAATTTATTCAATATATTGGGCAAGAAATTCTTGCAATGTGGGGGTTGATGCATAGGTTACTTTTATGAAGCATGGGTCAATTTGTCATGAGAATTCTTGGATAAAATTTAAGATAATAAAATATATATGAAGGACCTACAAAACTTTCTTAATGTTGTTGTAATCTTTCATTTGGAGAGATATTTATATAAATTATTTCATACCTAAGTGCTTTTCAAACAAATGCATTTTAATGTGTTGTTTGTTAGTATTATTTGAAAGACAGGTTCAAATCAATATCAATGAGAAGATATCACAGTGTGCACACCCNAAATGATTTATCTGTAGTGTTGATTGCAAGTGATTTAATGTTGTCCTATATATTGAGGCAACAAGGAATAGAATGTTTAATTCAGTCCTTTAATGTTGTCCTTTATCATCCTCTACTTCAGTCCTATTTCAATGTGACATATTGTTAGTCCTATCCATATGGAGAGTTAAAGAAATCAACCACAAAAGAAAATTGAGAGGGCAATAAGGAGTAAATAATTGTACCTTTAACAAATGTGTCCCAGGAACTCAATCTACCACCACGCGAATATTTGAGTCATGGTTGTTGTGTGTAACTAAAGAGGTGTATAAGGGGCATGCAATTCTTCATTCGAACGTTAGTATATTTATTATCGCATGAGGCAAGTAGATATTAACTAAAGTTTCAAAATTAGTGGGGACCTAATAGTTATTTAGGGAATGTTAGATCTATCAATGTGTATCCATATGTTAGACACGTCTATTATTATTGGAGATATTATCTTTGTGATTAACATGTTTACACTTCATTACATGAACATATACATGTGATATCTAATTAGTCTAAAATCACATTAGTTAGTGGGACCTTATGTAGTTTGTGATTATTTGAAAAATATAAAATCAATCTTCGCCAGTAGCATTTAGATTCAAAACTTTGAACATATTGACACCAAACTCATGTAAATGCCCGACTATATAATTAGTAGTGTATGCTCGTGTATATGATCTAGCATGTAGGTGGTGTTATTTGCCACCAATTGTACAATGGCATCTTGAGTTCTTGCGTCGTTCGTGATAAATATGAATATTGGTTTTCTTTTAATACCTGCAAACCATCAAGAATTCAAGGGCAAATGATTCAAATGGAAATCATGGAATATGTGTGTTTATATCGGGATATATGGTTTGGTCCAATAAAAGAAAAATGAAAACTTTCCATTTAAATAATATTGATAGGTTGTTTAGAATGAACACTTTTATTGAAAAAGAAAAGTTTTGAGGTAAGTTGAAGTGTATTTAAATTATCCTTTGAGATGTTGGGATAGAATGGGTGTGCCAATTTTAGTATGGTCAAGGTAGCATTGAATAAACCAATAGTCCAACAAATGAACAAGAGGCGACCTTGAACAAAATTAAGCATGCGTTCTATATTTACCAAATTGAGGTATATTTGTGTTCTATGTATATGCAAGCATCGAGCTCACCTTTTCCCTTGAATTCAATTTATTCAATATATTGGGCAAGAAATTCTTGCAATGTGGGGGTTGATGCATAGGTTACTTTTATGAAGCATGGGTCAATTTGTCATGAGAATTCTTGGATAAAATTTAAGATAATAAAATATATATGAAGGACCTACAAAACTTTCTTAATGTTGTTGTAATCTTTCATTTGGAGAGATATTTATATAAATTATTTCATACCTAAGTGCTTTTCAAACAAATGCATTTTAATGTGTTGTTTGTTAATATTATTTGAAAGACAGGTTCAAATCAATATCAATGAGAAGATATCACAGTGTGCACACCCAGTGAGACACAAACATATGAAGAGTAACTATTTTGATATTTATAAAATCTAAGCTAAACAAAGCTAACAAATGAATTAATAAGCTTTCGAGGAAAGCTATGAGACATAATTTTTTTAAGGCTGATTAATTTGATCAGTGAGCTTTTCAAGGAAAGTCTTGCTTTTGAGAAAAGCTGTCTCAAGAACTGTTAAGAGAGATGTACTTGTGCCCATAAGAGAGTCACATAGGGAGGTAACCCAACTTCAGTGATTGAGGACCCCATGAAGGAAGTTCAATGGATAGAAACATTTCATATTGTCTGACTCATTAGTACTGTTGTTGAGAAAATATCCTAAGAGAAAATATTTGCATACTCATCCCTGTGGCAGAGGTGCATATGTAGTGTGACGGTAATGAAAATTTTTATCCTGAATGAAACCAAGACAGGAACACTCTTATAGGGTATTGTGCACATGTACACTTGGAGGGCTCCCCTAAACGAGAGCGGTCGTGAAACCGCGACTATAAGAATTGGGCTATTCTCTAGAAACTCACATGAGAATCAAGATCAAGTGCATGACCATTAAACACACTAATTCACGAATCCTGACCAATATCGGTACTGTGTGTGTGACAGTTGAACTCTGGCTCAATGGATCTAGTTCAAGTATTTGGTCTCTATGATTCTTTAGAGGGGCAGTCAACAACACTAAATGAGATTCAAGTGCGGAAGACACCTACACCTATTACACAATATTATAGTTGTCCTAATTTTTTTATGTTCATTTTATGTACACACACACACACACACATATATATATTCATAATTTTAAAACTTGTGGGAGATTATTGAAAAATAAAAGCTTTAAATTTCTCATTTAATTTCTTTTAT